AAATGTGCAGGTTTTTTTAATGTCACACATATATATCATCAAAACATTAGAAGTAAAGATTCGGATAAACTTTAAAATGTAAAGGCTCAATAACCAAGCAGGCTGTAGGAATAATCTTCCCGCAATTTTATTTCCAAACACTTAATTAATAGCCTATCAGAGTGTTTTTTATTTATGTTAGTCAAAAGCTTCAAGTAGATTGGAAAAAATAGCTGCATCAAGCGATAATAATGAACTCAATCATATTAATATATTAATAAATATTTGGAAACTTGAATCAACCATCGATGATTTAGAATTTGAACAAGATCTTTTAGATAATAAAGTAACAATAATTCCTGTAATTGCTTTCTCTATTATTATCTCCGTCCCGCTACAAGTATTGTATTTTTTTTTTTTTTTGAGCAAACGTAGGGTTTTTTTTCTTTTGTCATTCTAGGTAATGTAGATGGATAGAACTATCTAAAGGACATTTTTCTGCTAAATGTTTGTACTGTTCCAAAAAGTTTCAACGTAGAGAAGCATCAAGACTTGTAGCTCATTTAGCAAACAAAGATGATGTGATGTGAAATATAAAAAATAACCAATTGAAAAAATATTATCTAATATATATATATATTAGTGAATTCTTGATTAAGTATGTTATGTAGATGAATAGAAAGCCTGTGTTCAGTTTATTTATCCAAAAAATTTTGTTGGCAGATAAATTTTTTTTTCAATAACCAGGGTTTCTATTATTTTTGGAGCCCTAGTTACAAATTGATTATTGAAAGAATAAAAAAACTTGATTTGTAAACGTTGCTTACAAAAGAGAATCAATAGATTATATAAGCAAATAAAGACAGGACTCTAATTCAGCACAAAGATAGCTTGATTGATATAGTGGTGCAGTCATGCGATTTTTTCATTGTAGGTATCTATTAAAACAAAACGAAACAAACAACACTTTCCTTGCCTCCATATACTAAATATCCATGATAGTCATGATTATTATTCAATACATTTGATATCATCATTGACATAACAATCGCATCACTCAGGAAGCAATAATACCAAGACCATACAGAAAATGAAACTTTTAATAATGCGTGTCTACCGAGATCTTTGGAGTTCACAATAATAGATAATAAATCTGATGTTGATCACGGTGTCAGGTTTAATTAAAATTTCCTATCACAGGCATACAATCACAATACAATTAAACACAATTCAGCATCATGGAATTGTTTCCCACAGTTGAAGGAGGGTTGAACATGTTGAAAGGCTTTAGATAAAACTTCCCTTTATCTTCCCCTATGATGATTGGTATTTGTGTGATGATTGCTTTGTGTCACTAGAATAAAGTTGGCGTTGTTGTTTTAAATTTTCCTGAATTCAGAGCTTTGAGTCCTGGGCTGCCGTTTTTGTTGGTAGCACACCTACTCACCAACAACCCTGTCCCCATTTTAATAATAAATTCAGTTGGTCAAAAGAATTTATGAAGATGATTAATTTATATGGAACGCACCAATCAAAATCTGAACTATTTTATTTCACGGATTCCTCCTTTTGATGCCAGTGATCGTGGTGACTATTACTATCACAATAAGAACGGACAGAGTCAAACTGCAGGGCCATCCTTACCCTAGAGTTAGGATCGTTGCAGGCAACTTTTCGGCTAACATGTTGGCAGCCTTCTTTGGTCTGGTGCTGAGAGGGAAGATTAGTGAAAATGTCCTAATGCAGTTTTGATAAATTCCAGGGCTATACCCCCATAATTTGGTTGCATCATTGTATCATCGGGAGATGAGGTCAAATTAGCCATGTGTACATGAGGAACGTGAGAATGACGTCATCCGTTGACATCTTATAATCATTTATTATGATTTAAATTATCAATCATCTTGATAAAAATCTTATAAATACCCAGAAAGTTCTGCTCCACGACATTTAATTCCACTATTTATATTTATAAAATATAAACAAGGCATATTGATACAAATAAAAGGTTACACCTGGTTAGTTATTAATCTTCTTCAGAACCAAACCATACCAAACGATATTCACGTCTTGTCGTCTTGGACTCTGTCAAAAATAAATTGGTTCAAAAAAAAAATCAACTCGTGTCCCAAGAAAGAATCTTTATCAACGATAATCTTTTTTTCTTTTTCTTTTTTTTTTCAAAAATAAAAATGCTAAAAGAAATAATTGAAAGAAACGAGTAAATGTTATTATTTTTTTTAAAAAAAATGATAGTTATCTCCACTTAGTTACATTATTAATATTAAAAAGGAATATAAATTTATTACAAAAACCAAAATACAAAAAAAATAAAATAAAGGTTTTGGTGCAAGGGATGAGTAGGTATTATCAGAAAATTAGAGCAAGAGAAAAAACGCTGTGTTAACTATTTAAACATCATAAACTTTGTTTTGTATTTACTTGACGAGGCTGAACTGTCAAGTAACCAACATAAAGAAAGATCGGAAACTAATGAACAGAAAAACCTATCAAGTCTAATAATCCTTATACAAAAGTAGTATTTTCAACAAAAGCAATCCTTAGAAGGAAAGATCCATTAATAATGAAGCCGCAGAACTTTCTATTGTAAGTAACAGTGAATTTAATTGATTATATATTATATGCATATATTGAAATAAATCTTTTAATATAATTCTAAATTATTATTATTGTCATCTATTAGAGAAGAACAAACACGCGCGTTATATCAAGGAATTTGAAACAGTCATAAAAAATGGTTGGAACAAGTGGAAAAACTTGTTGTTGAGTTTGGTTCAACCAAGAGAAAAAAATCACATATATCTGTCTATAATTGTTTTCTGGACGAAACTTGGATGCCCAGATTGTCTCTTTTATTGTTATAGTATAGTAATTATTTCATATCTGATGAATCAGACTCCTCGTTTCAACGGACTTTGCTTCGACGGATTTTTGCTTTGATAACTGGATTTTATATTTAAACCACGCGTTACAACAGATAACAACAGAATATATTATTATAAAACTTTTGGATATATACCACCATTATACTCCAAGGTTTGTAAGAATTTAAAAATTTCATTGAGTTTAGCTTTAATTCCTTCTTTTTTTATTAAATATCGAAACCTCATTTTGAGATGTTTTATTATTGTTTTGTCTAGAACTTCCAATATTTCACCCCTTTCACTAAACTTAATCTTTGATATTTTATCACGCATATCTTTCTCATTATTTCAGCCATTATAGTTATTATGATTTCTTCGACTAGGCTAATTTTGTTTCGAACTTTTTTTTATTCCGTCTTCGACATTAATAAATTCAGACATTTTTTTATATTATTAATATAAGTTATAACGAAGTGTATATACGAAAATAGTCATTTTTTAATACAATTTAAAAGCTTATATATCAATATTTTGTATTATAAATGTCGTAATATCCAATTTTCAATTTTTAACTTGTGATCCTGGAACTGAATTGTTTAAGCAGTGAAAAAACATTGCATTATTTGTAATTTTATTGTTATTTTTAAACTTTCATAATAAATCCCTTACCCAAGATATTATTTAACCAAGTGAAAGAACAATCGATCAACCGTTTAATTAAAATTTTATATTAATATTTCGGGTCTTGCTTATAAGAGTGGAGTGGAGTTTCTATTCGTAATGCAAATTCTTATTCGAATTATCCGTAATACAACTCAATCTTGATTCGTTTTATTAGAATAAAGTTTAAACATGCTTACGACTTTTATTCATGATTAAAATCACTATACATAAACCATAAATTCTTTTCTTATTATGAAAATAATTTTATTCAAGGAAAATAATATAATCCAATAGTAAAATACATGTACTAAGAAAGAATGGAATTCTACAACAAATATATATTTTTTTTTTTTGAGAAAATCTATCTGTTAGATTAAAGATAGAGACATATCACATCAATTTACAGGTAGTTCTTGAGTTCTGTACTTTAAAATTTTAGGAGTTCTTTTGAATATCCATGAGGCTTATTTGCGAGAAGGACCTTTTTATATAGTAATTTCCTACTATATTAAGAAAGACTTTTACAAGTAGATGTAAAATATGGCATTGATTGGAATATTGTCATCTCGTTCGTTTTAATAGATATGTATATAATAATTAATTATTCATGTACAATGCTTTATTTATTTATAATGGACGGATATGCATAGATACGTGTCCAGGGTTATGCTTCGCATAATTATATTGTTTTTATCATCATCATTTCCTATTATCCATCCAATAGAACATTTACGAAGATTATTTGACTTTAGACATGAATGAGTCAAATAGAAGTGGCATATTAAGAGATAGTAGCAGGCAGTAGTATATAGTAATAATAAAATGTTTGTCCCCGTGATCTACATTACAACGATTTTCCAAATTTTATTTTGTTACATTTTATAACGGAACTCCATCATGTTTGGTTTTCTAGTAATATGGTTATAATCTCTGACTAAATTTAAGTTTTTTAAGTTTTTTGTATGATATAAATCTATAACATAGGATTATTGTTGGTGAAAATTTCAGGTATTGTTCATTTAATAAAAAATGAGATACAAGGTGATCTGGATTGTGAAATCCTTAGGATAACAGGATTGAACCTTTGATAAACGGATGGGATCTTTGACATCGTGACTTTTTCTTATTCGCCGTCGTCGTCTTTGAATTTGTAAAATTATTTTTATCATTATTGATAAGCTATGATTATATTATTGAAATGCTTTATGCATCGTTAATTTATTATAAAATATTATGCATCAATTTAAACACAACAGCATGTATAATAACAGTATAGGTTTACTAATTGAGTATATGCACAACATTCATCAAGATATTTTAATATTTAATTACCTAGACTCGAATCTTCAAAACTTGCAACCATAAAGCCAACAATGCAGTGATCTTTCGACAACTACCGCCTTTCGTTTAAATCATGAGCAATCTATGGGTTTACATGCCAATTGCATGCACAATAACTATTGCCTCAGATAATTTATAAAAAAAATTAACAACAAATGATAACTTACATGTAACTAGATATTCGAGAATATCTATAACTTGAAATTCAAACGTCTCTCAAATTCCAGACTTGCAATTATCAATTCACATGGTGGAATTGTCTTGACCGTGTCTTCGTCTTTTTCGTAGTCTTCTTCGTGGTCTTCTTCGTGGTCTTCTTCGTGGTCTTTTTCGTAGTCTTTTTCGTAGTCTTCTTCGTAGTCTTCTTCGTAGTCTCTTTTGGATTTGTTGAATGATGATGTGCTCAGCATATAATTTTATCATCATTAATAAATTCAGATTATATTATTATCATCATTGCACATCATCAAAATGCTTTGTGAATCATAAATTATCATGCATCAACACTATTGCTCATTTAAACATAGCAAACGTCTCTCAAATTCCAGACTTGCAATTATCAATTCACATGGTGGCATTGTTTTGACCGTGTCTTCGTCTTTTTCGTAGTCTTTTTCGTAGTCTTTTTCGTAGTCTTCTTCGTGGTCTTCTTCGTGGTTTTCTTCGTGGTCTTCTTCGTGGTCTTCTTCGTGGTCTTCTTCGTGGTCTTCTTCGTGGTCTTCTTTGGATTTGTTGAATTATGATGTGCTCAGCATATAATTTTATCATCATTAATAAATTCAGATTATATTATTATCATCATTGCACATCATCAAA